GAGCGAATATAAAGATAGGAGACGAAGAATTAGAAGAAGTGGCTGATTTTAGATATCTAGGAAGTCAGATAAGTCAGGACGGAAGGAGTAGTAGGGATATAATGCAGAGGATAGCGCAAAGTCGTGTCGCCTTTAATAAAAAGAAGTCACTTCTATGCTCGCGAACAGTAAATTCGAAAAAGGTTGTTAAAGGAGTATGGAGCACGGCGTTGTACGGGTGCGAAACATGGACAGTGGGCGCGGCGGAAAAGAAAAGGTTAGAAACGTTCGAAATGTGGTGTTATAGGCGAATGATGAGGATATCGTGGGTAAAAAAGGTTAGAAATGAAGAGGTATAAGAAAAAATAGAGAACAGAGGACTCTATGGAAGTCAATAAAAAATAGACGAGATAGGTTGGTAGGACACCTTTTCGTGCATGAAGGTCTAGTCAGAGACATATTAGAGGCAGAAACAGGAGTTAGGAGGGGTAGAGGTAGACCTAGTTTAGATTACTGCTCACAAATAGTTAAGGATGTGGGTTGTTCTAGTTTTAGGGAAATGCGAAGATTAGCTCAGGATAGGAAAAAGTGGAGGTACCTATCCAACCAGTCTTAGGACTGACGACCCTATGATGATGAGAGAAACAGATTGCATTTGAAGAGTTATGAAAAAATCAAACGGAGCATCTATTAAATTTAAACTGAAACATTTTTAGACTTTCATTTATCGATTCATCTAGACCAATAAAGGAAGTTCTACTGTTTGAAGTAAGGTGATCGCAGGTGTTTTGTACACCTCAAAGTGCTTAGTTATTGATAAAGAGTTATTGATAGGGGACTTCCAGGCGATAGGCTACACGGACGATAACCTCGTTCTCGCTGGTGCGCTGACTTTGGACTTTCTATTTACACAGGAATTACATGTGGGGTAAAACCTGTTTCCTTCTGGTTGAAAGGCAGGAGCTGTGGTTACGCCTTGGGGGTAATTCTGGACTGGAAGATGTCATAGGAAGACCACCTAGATTTCCCTAGAAAATAGCTCTCATTCTGCTTTTGGCAAACTAGGAGGCCGATTAGAAAAGACTGAAGGTTCAAATCAGCATCATGAGAAGGATTTTGTACTGCTAAAAAGAGTGCAGCGTATACTAATCAATGTTAAATTGTAGAAGTAGTATTTGAGAGATGTATCAGCTGCGGCTTACTTCACCAACCGCTGCCCAACTAAAACAATAATAGCATTCTCTATTCCCAAAAAAAAAAAAATAGATTGCCTAGAGGACCACCCTTTATTTAATTAATCCTTTTCGTGAAGCACTTCCCTCTATTTTCCCAACAAAACGCTATCCTGCTGGTGCTTTGATATTTCTTTTCTAAGTACGCTTAACCCGGGTTGGTTTCACTGCGATAAATGTGAACTAAAAAGAAGCAGTTGTTCACATTATATCAATTGGTTCAGGTTAACAAATGTTATATTTAATTAGCATCTATAATTAATAAAATAAAAATACATAGAAATAAACATTCTGGAAAACTTTAAACCAGTGATTATTATACTTACCGACCGAGTAGCAGAAAGCCAATACGGTAGGCAACCAACGTAACGAATGAGCCCAATTTTTTGCACACAAGCGACTCGACTTTTACCACGAGACGGACCCCTAAATAAAACATCCGCTGAAATTTATTATCTACATAAGTCTATAAGGAAAACTTTTTGTAAATAATATATATATATAATATATACACTAATATTAATGTGTATACCTTTTTTCTGCAATCTCAACCAATTTAACTAAATGACCCTAATTTCGAAACAGAACCCTAGCCAAATGGGGGGAAGCTCTCTCCCAAATATCTCCTTCAGTTGGTTTTTTCAATTTGTGTAATTAATTAGGAAATATGGTAAAAATAGACGCGATTGTAGGTAAAACTGCGGACCTTAAAAGTAATATTGGTCTTTTGTTCGGTATGCACTTAACTTTCCGAACTTTCGCAGGTAGCAGA